ATAGACAACTTCCAGAAACAGAAAAAAAAGTTACGGAATACACTTAACTTTCAAAAAACCCTGACTGGCAACCAGAGGATTATAAGTGAGCTAATGCTCTTTTGTGCCCACTGATGGCCATGGATTGAGAAAAATATTAATAATCCTCAGAGCCAGTGAGGATGCTTTGAGGCAGCATCCTCCAGGCAGACCTCTCACTTGGGTTGGCCTCTCTGGAGGTCACTTTGGCAGAACTGGTCAGGGGCTTCCATAGTGAGGGTGTAGAGGGGGTCAGATCGGCCCGGTGTCTAGGTTCAAATGGTGCCACCTGTGAACTGAAGAGACTCTGGGTCTGATGGTCTGTCCTGAGGTTTTGCAGAGGGGTTCAAGGGGCATTCCAGGCTGAGGACAAGGACAGGGGCCAGCATCTAGAAGGAGGCAGCAGGGTGGGGCCGGCCCCCATCTGAGATGCAGGGGAGGGCAGAGTGCCTGGCCTGTGGGGATGGCCTGGTTAGCAGGATTGCAGCCCAAGTGGGAGGAACCAGACTTCCCACTGTGAGTTGGGGACTTTGGGCAGCTTCTCCGTGATTGCGCTGGAGGAGCCCTGCAAGATCTGGCATGCACGCCTGGGCCTGGCCGGGTTGGGAGCAGCCAGAGTGTATTCAAGATATGCTTGGTAGGCAGCAGGTCTACCAAGGTGGGGGCTGTGCTGAATGGGACTTGATGGCCAGGGCCTGAGTGCTGGCTGGGGTGGGAGAGCCTGAGAGGCTCTGAGCTGGGACACCCACATCTAGACCAGTGCTTCCAGGTGCTCCTCTACAGTGGCCCAGAGGATAGAGGCAGGGGTCTATCAGGGGCCCTCCTGACCTAGTGAGAAGAAAACTCTGTTTCGGGGACACGATGACAGCAGACAGGATGTGGTCAGTGGGAGGAGCAGGGAATGAACACTCTGAATGCTTGGGGCTGGAGGTGGGGCGGGTGTCCTTGAGCATGAGCTTGGCCCTTGAGGGGGTGCAGCAGAGTGGACTGGCTCTGGGGCAGAGCCTGGGGATCAGGGTAGGAGGGGTCCCTAGACAGAGACAGGTCGAGGCCGTGCCGTGGTCCTCAGGGCTGCAGAGCAAGTGAGCAGGACCAGTAGAGGCCACTGGTCAGCAGGTGTGACTGGCAGGAGCTTGGCGGCATCTGCGGGGAAGGGAGTGGTGGGGAGGGGCAGTGCTCCGAGTGGCAGATTGGAGCAGGAAGGGCTGGCTCCAGGCTGCATGAAAGTAAGGAGGGAACACTGTCCTGGGCTGGAGAAGGCTTTACTAGTGTCTCTGGTTTTAAGGCATTTGAGCTATTTCAGTGGGAAGGTCCTCCCCCTGGGAAGGAGAGGAAGGGAGCCCTTGCTCAGGGAGGAAACGGCAGGCTCCCTGGGGAGCAGGGCCAGGTGAGGCTGACTGGGCAGGGAGGGCCCCAAAGGCAGGTCCAGGGTGGAAGAGTTTCCCAGGTTGCAGCTGTGGTGGGCCTGGGTGAGCCACAATGGTTGGAGGGACAGTGGCCACAGGACAGGGCAAGTGGGCCCTACAGGGACTCCTCCTAGGGGCCCCAGCTGGTGTCTTCCCTGCCCCACCCCTTCTCTTTGGCCAGACCCCTTCCTGCAGCCCCAGAGGTCAGCAGAGGCCTTGAGCAAGCCTTATCTACTTCCTCCTGGCCTGGGAGCAGGGCGGGCATTGCCTGGACCTGTGACTGCCCCCAGGGCCCCCAGTCTCTGAGGGTGGGGTCTCCTGCCCCTCCCACCAAGGGACCCAGAGCTATAAAAGACCCCTGTGGGGCTCCGAGGGTGCCTTGTGAACAGTTGGCCCTGGAGGATGTGGGGTGCCATGGAGTTGGCCAGACCCTGGGAGTAAGCACAAGATCACATGGTTGGGCCCTGATGGCCTCTCTCTCAGCTTGGTGTCTGCCAGGAGGACAAAGCAGGCACATCCATGTGACCTGTGACCTTCTTGCCACCTGCATCCGGGCAGCTTTGGCATGAGACAGTCTAAAGCCCCTGGTCCTTGAGCCGAGTTGCAGTTGTGATGCAAGTCAGCAGTCTCCCCACAAGAGCACGTCCCAGGGGGGCGGGCTCTGCCTGAAGCCCTGGGTCCGCACACGTGTGTACGTCTGTGTTCGTACGCAGGGGCTGTGCACGCAACGTGTCCCTGCTTGTCTGTGCTTGTGAACACATGTGTCTGCGTGTGATTATGTTCATGTGAAACTGTATTCACGCATGTGTGTCCATTCGTGCACATATGTGAGCTTGGTTGTATGAGAAAGTGTGTTTGTGCACGTCTGTCCATGTCTGCACATGTTATGTGCTCACACCTTTGTGGGTGTTGTAGTCTCACAAGCACGCTTGTGCATTCATGTGGCTGTGATTAAGTGCAGATCTACAATTTGGGCTCCTGGCTCAGAAACACATAAACTATCCATCTTCCGTGGCCATGTGTGCTGCCTGTGAACGTCCCATGATTAGCTCTCAGTGGGTCAGAGGGGATGTGTCGGGTGGGCGGTGCCACCTGGCATCTCTGAACACAGACACGCTCACAGGTTCCCAGCCACTTCCTTGCGGTGGCATCAGAGGAACTCAGTCACGGAGCTTAAAGATTGGATATTTTGAAAAGAAGGCAAGAAGTTTTAAAAAGTTGCACTCCTGGGGGAGGGTAGAGCTCAGTGGTAGAGCATGTGCTTAGCAAACACAAGGTCCTGGGTTCAATCCCCAGTACCTCCATTTAAAAAGAAAAAATTTTTTTAATCTTTTAAAAAGTTGCCCTCCTGGGGAACTGGGTCCTTTCATAATCTATATACTTTTTAAAACAGCTTGAGTGTCATTGATACACTATAAACTGCACTTCTTTGAAGTGCATCATCAGATGAGTTGTGACACACACAAACACCTGTGAGCCCATGACCACGATCGTGATAGTGGACACATCCATCACTGGAAAAGTCGCCCCGGCTCCTTTGTCCTCCCGCCCCACCCCCCTCCCCGGGGCAGCCAGTGATCAGCTTTCTGTCTATAGATTAGCTTGCATTTGCTAGAAATATATTCAGTTGACCCTTGAACGACCACAACTCTTAATAATTTGGGAGGACAGTTTAAAAAATGTGGTATTCACATCTCCCCCCTAGCCTTCCTACCTGTTGCCACTCCCTAGCTCACCAGTCCCCTACCCTCCTAACACTGCTATAGGCTTCCGTTTCCCAGAGCCCATATCATCTCAGCCTCTGGTGGCCCCTCACGCCCACAGGGCTGAGTCACGCTTCTGTCCAGGGCAGCAGAGGTTGGCATACTGTTTCTATAAGAACTGGAAAATAAGTACATTCAACTTTCCAGGCCTCAAGGTTTCTGTCCCGACTCTTCAGTTATGTTCATGTAACAAAGGCAGCCATGGACAATATGGGCATGAATGGGCACAGCTTCAGTCCAGTGAAACCTTGTTTGTAAAAACAAGCCGTGAGCCACCACACTGTCCTCCTTCCTTTTGCCTTCCTGTTGAACGAACTCCTCTTCCCTTCAGAGCCCCTCTTAGGTGTTGCCACTCCCCGAAAGCCTTCTCTGGCTCTCGGGGGCAATAGCTTCTCACGCTCATGGTTGATATATTCTCTCATGTGTGTTTGCATATCAGCTTCTCCCACTGGGCTTTGAGCCAAGGTCCGGTTCATCTTTGTATCTTTGGCCACACTTGGGTGGCAGCCGGCGCGTGACCCACACTGCATTTAGGCCTCTTACTCCAAGGCACAGTTGCCAGCATTGGCTATGGTTTCTCTTTCTTGAAGCAAAAGTGTCTTCAGAAGTAAGTGCAGTTTTTAAAATAAGCTACTACTTTTTTTTAAGTTCTTATTTTTTATTTAAGTGTAGTCAATTTACAGTGTTAGTTTCAGGTATACAGCAAAGTGATATATATATATATATATACACACACACACATATACTTTTTTTTTCAGTTTCTTTTCCTTTACAGTTTATTACAAGAAATTGAATGTAGTTTTCTGTGCTATACAGTAGGTCTTTGTAAAATAAGCTGCTTCTGCTGGAGTCATTTTAGATTTACAGAATAGTGGCAGAGACCTAACATGGAGTCCCCATACCCCTCACCCACATTCCCCAAATGTGAACGTCTTACGTTATCAGGGCGCATTTGTACCACTAAGAAATACGCGTGAATGCACTGCTGTTAACTAACCACCTGACGATATTCGGATGTCACCAGGTCTCCCACTGTGTGCTCTCTCTGGTCGAGGACCCCATCCAGGAAACCCTGTTACATTAAGTCACCGCGTCTCCCCAGACTCCTCTGGCTGGGACGGATCCTTGGTCTTTTCTTGTTTCTCAGGACCTTGGCAGTCTCGGGGAAGACTGCTGGGCGTCCTGCAGGATACCCTCCACCTGGGTCTGTTTGATGTTCTTTTCGTGGTTAGAATGGGGTTGTGGGTTCTAGAAGTAAATGCACTCTGAGCAGTTCTCTCAAGCGAGTTTTTGGGAGGCTCTCCCTGACTTTGTCCTCCTTGGGTAGGTTTCTGCTTCCCTGGGGTTTTAGGGTCCCTGAGTTTCAGGGCAGGTTTGGTCTTGGTTGTCCCAACATACTTCTCTCTGTCCCTCATGTGTTTTGGAGGATGTAACCAAGGCCCATGGGGCCGAGTCTTCGTCCACTTGGGGAGCTGCCACGGGAGGTTTTGTCAGAGAGGAGATGCCAGGAAGGACTGAGCTGAGATGGTTGTGGCCATTGGACTTGAGGGTAACAGGCTGACTCTGGGAGGGGAGGGACAGGGCTTGGGGTGGAGCAGACTCCAGGGGAAGGGTTTGATTCTGGGAGAGGGACCTGGTGATGTCACTTTGCCATGGCCGCAGACCCTAGCTGAGGATCACATTGAAGGGCAGGTGAGGCCCTTCTGCCTTTCTGGCTTTACAGGAGAGCCCGCAGATTCAGGTCGTGGGTCTGAAGCTGTCTCTCTGGGGGTGGACATCAGTGTGCCCCCACCACTCTGACCCCCTCCACCACTCTAATCATGCCACCTCCTCCCTTCCAGCTCCAGGAGGCGCGCCCCGAGCCCGGGAGGCATGCTGAGGCCAGGCCGCAGGCAGGATGAGTGTGAACGAGGCAGGCAGCTCCGGCCGCCTGGGGCAGGCGGCCTACCACCTGCACATCTACCCGCAGCTGGCCACCAGCGAGAGCCAGGCCTCCTGCCAGGCCTCGTGCCGCGTGACAGCCACCAAGGACAGCACCACGTCCGATGTCATCCAGGACGCCATCGCCAGCCTGCGGCTGGACGGCACCAAGCGCTACGTGCTGGTGGAGGTCAAGGAGACGGGCGGGGAGGAGTGGGTGCTGGACGCCAACGACTCGCCCGTGCACCGCGTGCTGCTGTGGCCACGGCGGGCACAGGACGAGCATCCCCAAGAGGACGGCTACTACTTCCTGCTGCAGGAGCGCAACGCAGATGGGACCATCAAGTACGTGCACATGCAGCTGGTGTCCCAGGCCACGGCCGCCCGGCGCCTGGTGGAGCGCGGCCTCCTGCCCCGGCCGCAGGCAGACTTTGACGATCTGTGCAACCTACCCGAGCTGACCGAGGAGAACCTCCTGAAGAACCTCAAGCACCGCTTCCTGCAGCAGAAGATCTACACATATGCCGGGAGCATCCTCGTGGCCGTCAACCCCTTCAAATTCCTCCCCATCTACAACCCCAAGTACGTGAAGATGTACGAGAACCAGCAGCTGGGCAAGCTGGAGCCGCACGTGTTTGCACTGGCCGACGTCGCCTACTATGCCATGCTCCGCAAGCATGTCAACCAGTGCATTGTCATCTCAGGCGAGAGCGGCTCCGGCAAGACGCAGAGCACCAACTTCCTGATCCACTGCCTCACCGCCCTGAGCCAGAAGGGCTATGCCAGCGGCGTCGAGAGGACCATCCTCGGCGCTGGCCCAGTGCTGGAGGTGAGTGGGGGCTAGTTGGTGGGAGGGGCTTTAATGTGTGTTTTTGGTTATTGTTCAGATAGGGGAAGCACCGGCCATCGAGAAGACAGATTTACAGTCCCCTAGAAACAGGAGGCGCAGCATGCCATGCAGGGCCACACGGGGAGGCACCAGGGTCCGTCAGGAGGCAGCAAGTGCTGGGGAGTTTGGACAGGAATCTCTGTCGTGGGTTTCATAGGATGGGTCGGAGAAGGCAGGATAAGTGGGCTTAGGGTTGGCTAGTTTGAATAATTTCAGAGCCCTGGGGTGTAAGGGCTGTCCTGATTGTCTGGTACGTGGGCCTGGAGTGATCAGGCCAAGGGGAAAGTAGTCCTGAGTGTGAGGCCATGGTAACTGAGGTGGTGGGGGTGTGGACTCTGGAATGATTGGTTTGTATTTGGAAGGTGTCCTCGCAGGAGAATCGTTTCCTATGGGGCAGTCCCTCCAGGGTCGTCCAGGCCCCGAATGTCAAAGCATTAGGATGTAGAAAATAACCAGGTGTGATTAAAGTGCTCTTAACATCCAGAGGGGTGGCAGTCTGCACTCTGGGTCCCAGAAAGAAAAAGATGGCATGTCCAAACTGAATAGTTCATGGCAGGGTGTTTCTGGCAGGGGTAGCTGTGGGGCAGAGGGAAGCCAGCAAGGTGTGGTACAGGCCTGGGGGCTGGGGACAGTGAGATGAGAGGAGGGGACCAGCTGGTAGCATCAAAGGCAGCAGGGAAGGAAATGCCCCAGCCTCCTGTGCCCTCTCTAGTGTTCCCATGATGTGTCGCTGTGGGTGAGCCTTCAGGACACTGGGGCAGTGGAAGTGATCACTCTTAGGGTCTTAGGACAAGAAGTGTCCACATCTCAGCTTAACCGTCGTTCCCTGGTGAGGACGGGGCAGCAGATACACCCAGGAGTCTGTGCCTCTGGGTTTCGGATCAAAGATTCTGCTTTCTTTCTGTTTTTAGTAACATTTTACAAGGATTAAATAATTTTGAGTAAGTAATTTTAATAGCCTTAAATAGTTAAATTTTATTCACTATAATGACATAAATGATTCTGTTTCTTAGAGCAGCTTTAGGTTTATGGAAATACTGAGCAAATAATACAGAGTTCCCATATCCTCCCCCACCCCCTTCACTTTCCCGTCATTAACCTGTTGTCTTAGTGTGGTGCCTTTCTTAACAATTGATGAGCCAATATTGACACATTATTAGTAACTTAAGTCTCCAGTTTACATTCAGATTCACCTTCAGTGTTGTACATTCTGCAGGTTTGAACAAATGCACAGCGTCACCTATTCACCACGAGTATCGCACAGAATAGTTCCACTGCCCTAAAAATCTCCTGTGCTCTGCTTGTTCCTCCCTCCCTCCCTCCCTGGCAACAACTCATCCTTTCACTGTCTCCGTAATTTTGCCTTTTCCAGGATGCCGTGTAGCTGGAATCACACCGTCTGTAGCCTTTTCAGACGGGCTTTTTCCCTTAGTAATATGCATGTAAGGTTCTTCCGTGTCTTTTCTCAGCTTGAGACCTCGTATCTTCACATTGCTGAGTGTCACTCCCTGGATATGCCACCATCTGTCCAGCCACAGGACCCCAGCCCTTCCCTCCTGAGGAGTGGCGGGCCGGGTAGGGAAGTCCAGGGGTCCCACCCACCCTGGAACATTGACCTTGGGCTTTTTACTGATTCCTCCAAGCTACCTAATGCAGGGCTGCTTGTGAATTCACTGAAATCCCATCCCGGCTGTGCCTGCTGAATATACTTCAGTTCCTCTTCCTCCCTGATGATCTCTGAGATCATCAGCGAGAAATTAGTTAGGACTGTACAGCCTGGCCCCGAGCCAGCACGCATGGCCAATTTCTGTCTTTTCCTCCACACGTAACATAAAGGTTGTCATTTTTTGCACAAATGTTTTTAAAACCAACTCAGTGATCTGGCCACAGAGCGGACATTTTCTCTTTAATGCTGCGTATCCCGCATGCATTCCCTCCTCTGACGTAACGATACATTCATTCTGCAAATATTCCATGTGCAGGCACCGCTCTAGGCACTGGGCTAAGCAGTGGCCAAAAGATACAAAGGCCTGCCCCCGGGAAGTTGCCGTCCAGTGACAAGGGGGCAGGCAGTGAGATGAAACAGCGAACCTCTTAGACAAGCTAGAAGCCAGTAAGAATGGCAAGCAGGCTTGAGGAAGGGGTGAGGGGGCAAGAGGTGAGAAGGTGATGCCAGGCTGGGCCCTGGAGGGGGTGGGATGAGCAGTGCAGTGTCTGGGAGGAAGGCATGGCCAGTGCAAAGGCCAGGAGGCTGGACCACACCTAGCATGTTGGAGGAAAGCCAGGGCCCTGGAGAGTGCGGGAAAGGGCTTGAGCGGGGCGAACAAGGAGCAGAGCAGGAGGCAGTGGGGACAGAAATGTGACAGGCAAATCATTCAGGGCCTCGTGGGCCGAGGGGTGGGTCCTGTGTGATGGAGCTCCGGAGGGTGCCCCCATTTCCATCTGGCTCCATCCCAGCTGTGGAACTCAGCTGCCTCAAAGCCACCAATGGCCCCAGTGTCCTCCCAGCCATAGCTAAGGGCCACCATAGGCACTCGAGGCCAAAGCACTGGAGCCTGGCACGCAGTTCAAGGTAAAATGGTGCAGGCAGTTGATGACTTTAGAAATTAAGGATGTGAACAAGTGGGGGGCCCAGCATTTACAGAGTGGGGTGTTTCGTCAAGTGGGCCGCTCACCCCTCAAAGAACCAGGTAGGCAGGTGGATGTGCCATCCTTAGTGAGCGCGCCAAGCCCCAAGGTCTCAACTCGTCGCAGTGAGGAGGCAGGATCGGCACCGTGTGGCTTCCACTTCTAGCCAAGGACCCTCCAGGGCAACTGCATGAGGTCCCTGGAGCTGCCAGAAGAAAGTACCCACAGAAGACGGTGCATAAAACAACAGGAGTTTACTCTCTCACGGTTCCAGAGGCCTGAAGTCCAAGATCCAGGTTGGGGCAGGGCCACACTCCCTCTGAGGGCTCTCGGGGAGGATGCTTCCCGCCTCTTCCAGCTCCTGGGGCTCCAGGCACTCCTGGGCTCATGGCCGCATCTGTCCAATTCCTGCCTCTGTTATCACATCATCTTCTCGTCTCATAAAGACACTAGTCATCAGATTCAGGGCCCGCCCTAATCCAGGGTGACCTCATCGTAACTAATTACGTCAACAATGACCGGTTTCCAAATAAGGCCACGTTCACGGGCTCCAGTGCCAGGACAATGTAGACGAGCCTTTTGGGCGGTGGAGGGGGACACAAGTCAGCTCACAGCAGCCCCCACCAAGTGACAGCTGGCAGTGCCTTCTTCCCCAAGATTTCTGCCAGGGCTCAGCAGTGATCCTGTTGGCCTCCACGCTCCTCCCCTGCAGTTGCCTGGAGGGATTCTGGCACTTTCTTCGAGGGCCGTTAGTCACCCTCCACGGCGGGTGTCTGCACCCCGTGAGTCACATGCCTCTGACCTGGCCTGGCTGCCTCCCTCGCGCCTCGGCCGTGTGAGCCGGCAAGGCCGAGTTTCCCTAGGGGTGGGAGCTGCCGGCAGGCGGGGCCCATGCCAGCTTCCAAACCAGGCTTGAGCCAGATCCACGTCACGGCCGTAAATGTGCTTCCTGAGGCCACCGTTTGGAAAGGGAGAAGGTTGTGTTAGTTTAGAGCTGGGCCCTTCAGCCAGAGCACCACTGACGTCTGGGGCGGACATCCTCTGTGTGGGGATCTGTCCTGTGTGCTGCGAAACCCCCATGCCAGTAGCATCTCCTCCCCACCAATAGTGACAACCAAAAAATGTCCCCAGACACAACCGAGTGTCCCCCGGGAGCAGAATCTCCCCTGGGTGAGAACAGCTGCCTTAGTCAACAGCTTGCGATCCCACGAGACCCAATCACCATTTCTTTCCGGTGCTTATGGTTTAGAAATTGTCCGTAAGTAAGTTCCAACCATTCTGAGCTAACCTGAGAGTCACTTTCTAATAACAGGAATGATTAGTTATTGTGCCTTTGGGCCCACTGGGTGGCTGGCTTCGAGTGCCCAAGTTTTCACCTGTCATCCCTCTAAGAACTCACAACAGCTCTGCTCATTTTAAAGACGAGTGAGGAAACAGCCTTGGAGAGGCGCTCTGGTGTGCAAGTGTCCTGGAGCAGCCATCTCAAAGTACTATAAGCGGGAGGGGGTGGAAGCAGGGGACTTAAAGCAACAGTAATTTATTCTCTCGCAGTTCTGGAGGCCAGAAGTCTGAAATCAAGGTGTGGGCAGGGTCAGCTCCTTCTGGAGGCTCCGAGGAAGAGTCCCCTCCAGTCTCTCTCCTGGTTTCTGGTGGCTGCCGTGTGGCGTTCCTTGGCTTGTGCCTGCTTCACTCCAGGCTCTGTCTCCATATGGCCTTCTCCCTGTCTGTCTCTGTCTCTGTGATCTTCTTTCTCTTGTCAAGACACCATCATTGGATTTAGAGCAGTGGTCTCACCTCAAGATCCTTACCTTAGTTACATCTATAAAGACCCTATTTCCAAGTAAGGTCCCATTCACAGGTTCCGGGAATCAGGACTTGGACATATCTTTTTAAGGGACACAAGTTAACCCACTACGGTCTGAGTTCCCTGGGACACGCTGCAGGCAGCCACAGCCAGAACCCAGCCTAGGCCTGAGTTCACAGTATTCCTTCTTTGTGTTCGTGGAAGATTTCCTCTCTCAGCTCTGCTGGGGCCTCAGAAAGCCGATCGGGACTTTTTCTCAGCTCCTCAAAAGGAGAAGTTGAGATGTTTTGAGGTTTGGGTGTCACTGGGCGCCCCCCCCCCCCGGGTGCGGGTTGCAGCCTTGCTGTGCAATTCTGACCAGGAAACAGGAAGGGGGCACTGTGGAAAGCAGGTTCCAATCAGCTGATCTGCCCGCCTGCTGCAAGTTACCTGTTACTGTCACCGTTTCACACGATGTTGCTGGGCTGTGCGCTGCAGCTGGCCTTCTGAACCGCCCCCAGAAACCTGT